CACACACACACACACACACACACACACACAAACTCCCGGGAATGCGTACGCACACACAAAAAAGACAAACATCGTAAAGGTACATTTGTTTTCAAAGAAAATAACAACAAAATTATAAAGTTTGATGTACATGAATTTTATTTTAAGTGTGTATCTGCAGATCTGCGAGTATCCTTGTAACAAAATCTACTATAATTACGATATGAGTTGATGTGTCACAGCAGTCTTGGTGCTGGAAAGGGTACGATAAAACATACAAAACATAATCGGCTTCAACTAGGCCCTACACTGTTTGGGATAGCGAACAGTCACACAGGAACAGCATACTCGGTTACATTGATCAAATGGCATGCCTTAAAATCGTCTCGTGGGTGGTTGGCTGGTGCTCTGGTGTGGTTTGCTTCTTCTTTCCTATCAAACATCTATCGTCTTTATCTTCCCTTCTTCTTTTTTATGTCTGTTACTCTCTTGTAACAGCTCTAATCTTCTGCCGCTCATATGACTTTATGCAGTAGCGAGCGCCGTAAAACCTCTACAAAAAAATCGTCTCTACCACACGTAACTCCCTGTCACGACCTGTTGAACTATTTACAACAAACTCTTTGCAACAATAAAGTATGTTTTGAGCTCCCTTCCCTGCTCTTGATGCCTACCTTACTCGGGTAAGTGGTAGGTATCCATCAAAGGCAGTAAAACTTAGCATATTTCCTCCCCATATTTCTTTACCATTAGAATTTATCACCCTTGAAATGATTATTTATGAACACGTCACTCCCTGTCACGACCTGTTGAACTATTTACAACAAACTCTTTGCAATAATAAAGTATGTTTTGAGCTCCCTTCCCTGCTCTTGATGCCTACCTTACTCAGCTAAGTGGTAGGTATTGAAGATGATCAAGCTCTTCAAAATTTTCATCAACGTTTCCCCCAAAAACTGATTCACACAAACGTTAAAAGTGTATCTTCTACATGTAAGCTTAGATCTATTTAATGTATCCTCGTAAAAAAATCTGTATGGTATGAGTATATGTGTCGTAATAGTCCTGGCGCTAAAAACGGTAGATACAATACACATATACAAGGCTTTCCTTTGATGAGACAGCAAGTGGTACCACATAATATACAACACAATCGGTTTCACTCATCAAATGGCATGCAGAAAGATTGTCTTTATTTGTCCGCTCCTACATTCTCACCTATCACTATCAGTCACAGCAGAACTTACCATTCTTCTTTACCATTATCACTTATGAACATACTGTAACTGCATTCCATCCGGAAACGACATGTCGCACTTTATCAAACAAACTCTACATCACATTATAAGATTAGTTTCCTGAATTTCAAACGATTAATACATTTTTTAAAAATTAATCACAGAGACCATTACCTTGCTACTTCTGCGTACACAAATTTTAAAAAAGATACCACCAACATTCATTTTCTACCTTAAATCATTTACATCACATGTTATATAAGGAGTAATTAGTGATATATCCGTGTTTATTTGGTATGTCAATTAGAATTGAACATCTACAATTTATATGGGCTTCGATGCACAAATTACTTTGTACACTGATTTTCAATAGACTACTTTTTAAGGTCTATTTTATGAATGAATATAATAATATATACTATATACACTGCAGTGATGACAAGATGAATTCAGAAATAACTGAAGCTGGCGGTAGAGATGCCTTATCCCCGCCGCAGTGTTTGTGGAGTCATTTCAAGTCTATAAAGAAAATAAATGAAAATAATATGTTGTGCATGAATCAGACAGATGACAGCATCAATACATCTTATACAGGGTGTGTTGAAAAGCAAAAACTGTTTGTTATTGTTTTTGTTATGTATTTTTGAAAAAGTGACAACAACGGGTAGCAACTGAATAATTACATTTGATAAGATGACTGAAAAGACAATTTTAAACTAATAAATAAATATGGTACTCAGAAGGAACACAAACCAGATTAAAGTGAAAAAATTCGGTGCCCATAAAGAGACAGCTGACTTATTCAGTTTCTCGGGTCTTTCTCCCCATGTAAGAACTGGAATGCCCTTCAGGACTTATTCCTTTGGCGGAATAATTCTCTCAGTCAATTGTACCCAAATACAAAACTTAATTTTCCTCTATACAACGACAAGAATACCACGGAATTTTACCTGTCTTACAATGCGAATATTTCGCTTGTGAACCGGATTAAATTTGGTTTGTTAGCTTTGCTAAAATTTGTAATTTTTATTTTATTATTCTTTAAAGCTTTTCTTCAGTATTTAAATTTAAAACGATGCTTCTCAAAGTAAGATAACTATAATGGGCTTTCTTATTCGTGCATGGGGGCCTCGGTGTTCCCTAAGGGTAAGTGATATATGAAATTAGAGAGCAATGAAAATTTTCTTGTAGAAGAGCCAGTAGCCAAACATGACCCAGACGGCCGTGCTCCAGGTACAGAGAAGAAGCAGTTTCCAGTGCTCCTCCCCGACCACCCAGCTGACCGGGAACTGTTTGTAGAAGGCGCTGTGGCAGAAGTAGATCACGATGCTGTTCATTCCTGGGAAAGAAAATGTATATAAGGATAATTTGGACAATACAAAGTACAGGCTGCCATCAAAGACATTTGCCCTTTTCAGTATTTCTGTCATTTTCTGTTTCGGACAAGCTTACCTTTACCTGACTGACCCTATTAGTGTCCCATCCTCAATAGACTATCCTTCTCCACGCAACGTTTCCACGTCTGCTGTGACATACCCTACAGTACATGTACGATCGAAATATTTAGAGAGTACAGTACAGGTGTAAGTTACTTCTAATGTAAGTTCAAAACTAGTGTTCTTACATGGATTGTCTATGTGAGTGCTGGGTGAGTATTAACTCAATCAAGTACATCAGCAAAATACCCCCCCCCCCCCCCCCAATGATGTTGTTTGCCTAGAAATTATTGAGAATTGTTTTTTTTTGGGGGGGGGGGTGGGGGGGGGGGGTTTGGGGGGGGAGTTGACCGGAGAAAACCTAACAAATCGTATCATACAATAAGTATGGTACAAGTACCATACCATACCACGCCACGACACGACACGCCATACCACGCCCCACACCATGCCATAGTTGATAACAACTTACCCATGTAAATGAAAGGTTGTCCGTGCCAGATGCCCCAAACATCCACGACCACGTACATAGCAGACAGAAGTACGTAGGCAAAGGCACCAGTGATCAGGGAATATGACAAGGACCTGCAACGGCATAGTAACATTCTCATTTACAACTTGATCTTTGAAAGGAAGTTAAATTGTCTCGTGTCCCTTGTTCGGGTGTTAGTTGAAGATTTTATTCGTATCAGACAAGAATCGACACTGAGAAAGAATTTGGATCTTGATGCAGCAGGTGTCGCAGTGTTAACACACTGCTTTTGGTTGATTGGTGCTTGCTCAAAAAGTGTTGTTTGCTTTCTTTTCTTCTTTGTCGTCAATTTTATCTTCTTATCATCAGTTCCTGGGGCAAACCGGTGTCTTTAGTGTATTTGGCGTCTTTATTAGCTAGGATCATCGTCTATGCATTGCAGAAGAATACGTTAGTTGGATTCCATAGTGGAAAGTTTCTTAATGAGTATCTTCATCTGTCAGTAGAGTTGTTGTAAGTCCCTCAGCCCTAGTTGAATTTGACATGCGGATTCTAAACAGCCGGCCTTCAAAATGAGCTAAATTGGGTCGATTATTGTTTGTTTGTTTTAATTTCAAAAATATATTATGTACGTTTTTGGGGGGGTTGGGGGTGGCAATACATTTATAATTATGATAACAACCTGAAGAAATGTGACAAATATCGTTCTGACTAGCCGTGAAATACATCTCAATGTAAACAAAATACCAGAAGACGTTTGTTAATAGTACTACAACATTGCACAAGAAAATGCGATGATCTCAAACCCATTAAATAGATTCATGAAATTTGTACTCACTGGCCTGCACTATAATTTAGCTGTGGATATGACAGTGTATGAAATTTAACAAACTAGTGCACAAACATAATATTGAAAAGAACAATAAAACTGGAGAAAAAGAAACGATGAATTAAAAAACCCAGTGCGTCATCACAGCATAAAAGACTTGTACAAAACATGGCACTGGAGCCCCTACCTATGTGATATTGAGCAGAGTTTATTTATAAGGAGATATTAAAACTTGATGATTAGATCAGTCTAAGATTAGCAAGAGTCCCCTGTGCTCGTGGAAGGCCCACGGACAACTGACGGCGTGCGACGTTTTGAGTAAGCTAAGCAGTGTCATCAGGGAATTCACAGATACTGCCATCAATAGTATCGTCTCTCAACTGAGTGTTATTTATTGTAATAATTAGAAATATTCTTTGCCACCACGAGTACAATGTACACCATTTTGGAGGCGGCCTGCTTCAATCCTACCTGTTAGCGACAACACGAAGAGAGAGAGAGAGAGAGAGAGAGAGAGAGAGAGAGAGAGAGAGAGAGAGAGAGAGAGAGAGAGAGAGAGAGAGAGAGAGAGACCGTTCCAACTGACTGATGATAAAGATACTGGATAGAATAACTCCCCTGTAACTTACAGTGTAAGGGAATCGAACTTCATGCCGTTTGTGCCCAAGGGTGGACTCGTGGAATGCTGTGTTCCACTCAGGCTGGGATCACCTTGACAGAGAGAGTGGAGCTTTACAATCTACATGTATAGCATTACCAAAGCGGGACCCACAAACACTCGGAAACATTCTCGGCTTCCCGGGAACCATATTACAGTCCAAGCAGCTGATTCAGCGCTCAAACACTATTAAACAAAATTAACAAAAGGGTTAACTGGAAACACTTACCAGATGTTTTTGTTGGCTGGTATCCAGCCTTCATTTTGGCTGCATTTTGTCAATAAAGCACCGAGGGCGCCCTGGTGAAACACATGCAAACAAAAGACATGTGAGTGCAAAGCATATTTAGTTCTCCACTTATCACCACTAATCCCACATTATTTCTGTTTCACGTGGTTTTCCTAGCCACATGTATTTTGTGTAGACAAAACTTGATAAACGTTGATATAATGCGCTTGGGTGAGGCTGCTTTTCTTCAGTTTATGAACTATCGGACAACTTCAGAGTGAAACCATAACATAATAAACCTTTCTTGAGGTGATTTAATGTCAAAAGGCACGCTTTCGAAATGTTTTTTTTTATTATTTGTTGTTTGCTTTTTTGTGGGGTGGGGGGTATTTTTTCTATTTCTCGGACTTTTACTTTTTGATTATTCATTGTGCTACAAAGTAAGAAAATGTGCGTTTAGAAAAAATGTGTGCGAAAGAACGATTATGATCTGAAGAATGGCAAGGTGTTCAATGTAGAGTAAAATGTCAGAACCCGAGCAATGACGCAGCTTTACTTACCAACACAACAGCCCAGACAATAAAGCGGATGATCCTTTGCTTATGTTCCTGATAAAGCAACACAATGCGCCCAAACTGTGAAGGAAGAAGACAAATGAAAGTCACTGTGTATGAATATCGCCCTAAATGTAAATAATTTGAAGTGCTTTGATGTTAAAAAAAAAAAAGTGTGTGTGTGGGGGGGGGGGGGCGGTTGTTGACCTTTTAAAACTGTTTTTGTTTGTTTTTTTACTTCTCGGGAGTTTCTCTTTTGTGCTTTTAGAAAAATACGTACGAAAGAACGATTATTATCTGAATGACAAGGTGTTTAATTTAGTTGATTCGATCTTTGACCGTCCAAAAAGCGCTGTCTCAAATGAAAGCATCTTAAAGATTCAATAGGCCCTATGGGTCATAGATAGTTCTCAGTGATAATGTTTTATCACCAACAACGTGAAAGCACAAATTCAAGGAACATCAACTCCATATTGATATGTACAGCGAGAAGAAAATGGGATTTGATTACCTTCGAGGATTTTTTTTCTCTTCCCTTTTGAAACAATAGAGACTTATTACGATATGTTGATATTACATCAATACCATTGTTAAGTCTCAAACATTTCACCCTTCCCACTTTTCCTGCACTGACGACAGGTTTGAAAGCTCACTGCAAAAATGGCTTTACCTGAATTCCCAAAAAGCAGAGGAATACGCAGTTGAGAGTTCCCAAAATTCCCTCAGGGTCAAAAGGTATTGTCGTCTGGTAGATGACCTAGGGTGAAATCAAAATAAAAGTTTTAAAGAAAAAACACGAATTTTGACAAAGCAGAAAAGGTAACTGTAATATTTTCTCAACAGAAATTTGTAAAACAGCGAGAAAAACACAAATTAACTAGACGTTTGCTATCACATTTGTAGACACGAAATAAAAAACAACAAAAACGTAAACATTATCAACAACAACAACAACAATAATAACAACAACAACAACAACAGCAGCAGCAGCAACAACAACAACAACAACAACAACAACGGCAGCAGCAGTAGCAACAGCAACAATAAAAACAAAGATTTCGTTGGGGGGGGGTTTTAAGTCCCGCCTTTCTTTAACACGAAGGGTAGAAAATTCAGCAGTTTTAATATGTGTATTGAACATGCCAAAAGACAAGCTATGTGACAGCGTTGTCACGGTGACTAATGTGACGGCACAGCATTGGTGTGGTACAAGGACATTCATCTTTTACGTAGCCCGAACAAGAGAGAGAGAGAGAGAGAGAGAGAGAGAGAGAGAGAGAGAGAGAGAGAGAGAGAGAGAGAGAGAGAGCTTTTGTTATTATGTGTGCGTGTGTGAGTGTGTGTGTTTGTGTGTATGTGTGTGTGTTTGTGTTTATGTATGTAGGTGTGTGAAAGAAAAAACGTAGAGTATATTGCGTGAGTGTGTTCATGTGTGTGTGTGTGTGTGTGTGTGTGTGTGTGTGTGTGTGTGTGCGCGCGCGCGCACGTGCGTGTGCGTGCAAGTGCTCGTGAGTACACGTATGACAGACTGACAGACAGGCAGACAGACAGAGGATGAAAAAGAAAGCGAGAAACAGCAGGCACGGCAAACTGGGAGATGCAAAGAGTCAATATTCCACATCCTTGACCACTAGAAGTAACCGACGAAAACTTTGCTAGCCTGTTCAAGCAGCCAAGCCTAGCCGGTTGGCCAAGAGCACGCATACTTTCCCTAAGGCCCATCATTTCCAAGCACTCGAATGTGCAAACAACACCCCATGCCAAGAATGTGGAAGAGTGCCTAGGCTCGCAAAGAATCGCACGTACAAAGAACATTTTGTTTCGTTGAAGAGCGCCGAGGTGTCGCAATCCAGATCTTTAAAAAATGTAATGAATTTTTCCTTGACCCAGGGTCAACATTTCCCCTAAAAAAAAACGTAAAATGGAGTTCAGTGTCAGCACAATCCTTTAAAAAAATCATTGGAGGCAGAAAAAGACAGACTAGCTGACAGATTGGGGTATTTCTATTTAGCAGAGCAAACTTTTAGTTTGCCAGCCTCTCCCATCAATTTACAACGCCACGACAGAAGGGAAAAAAATTAGGCGGTTTTCAAAGACGCAAGTCCTTGTCATCATGCATTCGTCCAGAAGTTGGCCCTAAGGCAAGGGGGTTTGTAGTAAGGTCCTATGTTTAGGAGTTTGTTTGTGTGTTTGTCTGTGTCGTGGGTGTGTGGGTGTCTGTGTGCTTGAGTGTGTGTGTGTGTATGACAGACAGACAGACAGACAGACAGACAGACAGACAGACAGACAGACAGACAGACAGACAGACAGACAGGCAGACAGACAGACAGGCAGGCAGACAGAGTTTGAGTACCTTTGTGCAAGGGCAAGGTAAAAGTAGGCAAGTCAACTAGTATGTATGTGAGTGTACGCGTGAGCGTGCCACTGGTGTGTGTGTGTGGGTGGGAGTGTGTGTGAGTGTATGTGTGAGTGTGTGTTTGTTTGTGTGTGTATGAGTTGATTGTGTGTGTTTGTTTATTCGTGTGTGTGTACGTGTGTTTGTGTGAGAGTGAGTGTGTAATACGCGAGCGTGTGTGTGTGTGTGTGTGTGTGTGTGTGTGTGTGCGTGCGTGTGTGTACGTAGGTTTGTGCACGTGCGTACGTGCGTGTGTGTGTGAGTGAGTGTGTGTGTGTGTATGTGTGTGTGTGTGTGTGTGTGTGTGTGTAAGTGTGCGTGCGTGTGTGACACTCACCATTGGTGTGGGCCATCGGTACATATGTTCCTCTCCCAAGATGACGGCGTCCACATACTGGGTAGCTCCACCTGTACAGTTGGCAGCCACCCCGCCCTCACTCAGACCTCCTGGGCCCACGTAGCCACTGGATGAGAGAGAGAGAGGGAAGAGAGACAGACAGACAGACAGACAGACAGACAGACAGACAGACAGACAGACAGACAGA